TTCGTCTTTTATTTTTTGTTGTTGGGGACAATTAAGCTCGCAATTAAACAACCATTAATCGTACATAGTCATCTTTATTTCACATTTCATACAGTCGTCACAAAAATTAAAAGGAGGCGTATTAAACCCAACAAAAATAAATCATAATGTATTCTGATCAAGATGAACGAGTGTGTTGATTGCCCCCCAAAACAAAGACGATCCCACCAGAGAAGTTCATGCTGTGCTGTAGTAATGTACATCGCAAAGCTTCGCCACAATGATTGGAAAGGTAATACCCCGCCCGTTACGACGCAAAACGGCGCGAGAAGAATAGATCGCGACGCGAGAAGAATACATCATTTTTGTACAAACAATGGAAATTTTATCAGAACGAAAACCGGAGGAGGGGAAGACAGGCTTTGGCCGACAAATACTTTCTGTATATCAAGTTTAAGCTGTACCGCGCATCACGAGCGAGAACAATGACGGGAGAGATAATCGTCCATCGCCTGGTTGGGCGCAAAAGGGCGCAAGAAGAATAGAGCGGGTTTATACTAACAATAGACGGTTTCTTTTCATATGCAAGAATCAGGTGAGGGTGACTATTGCGCCCCTTCGCGCCCCTTTGCGCCTCAATGCGTCTCTTGGGACGCGACTGTTCTATTCATCGCGCCCCGACGCGTCCGGGCACAGTCGCAACTTTGGAAGGCTCCCCTAAAGTATTCTATAATTAACGGTATCGAATGTCCTCAAGAAGTCAAGGAACAACTCGATGATGTATTAAGATATTTTAAAGAGAATTATAGATTTTATTCATTGAGAGTTACGATGGCATTTGTGGTATAATGTTGGGCGATAATTGCCAGCAGTTAATTGATCTACTTTAAAAAATAAATAGTGACAACAAAGCCCACTTTTGCTCAAAGACCTCGCTGACCTGCTTGTGTGAATATTAAATGTGAGTATATATCAAAGAAAGCCCATCCTACATAGCTACTTCTTTAATATTGTAATTAGTAATGTGCTGTTTCTGTTTGCAGATTGACATTTTTTAAATTAAAATGGAGTCATTTTATCGTCAGTGGTTTTACTTTCTTAAACATTTGGTACAAAAAGCAGAGATAGAGTTAAAGGGTAATTGATGTTTGTAGTAAAGTATAAGGCCCGCTTTACGGTTAGGCGCCACTTTGTCTTAACCTATAGATATCGACATTTCAAAGTCACTTTAAAATAATCAAAGTTATGATTTTACTAAGAATGTAATTAAACGGCAAATGTAATACCGGGGCTTGATTTGTATCATCATCTTTGGTACTATAATAGATCATTTGGAGTTTCAAGTAAATGAGACTTCAAATATGACTTCCAAAAGTTTCTTGTTTTACACTCCCTCATTTGAGATTTTTAATATAATATTGAGATTAATTGGATTTAATTGAACACTTTTTTTAACGATAGATAGCAAATCACGTGAGAAGGTTGAAACAACAATCAGGGAACTCGTTGAGCTCGACATCATAGATTCGGTTGAGCATTATACGTCCTACATTATACAGTGCGTCCCAGAAAAAACGAAACCGAGAATTATCGATATTTGATCATAAAATCACAATTATAATTAATACATGACACATATTTAGTTACATCTTAGATATAATCTTTGATAATGGTAGGGTTATCAAAGTGATCATAAACCATGCATTTCAGCTTGGATACAGTCTCTGCTTTGGTCTCTTCACATCCACACAGACTGGTACTCATAGACTCAAGCATCTACATAGAGACAGGGAGATGGGAGGGAGACATAAAGAGAGAGAGAGAGAGAGAGACAGATACAGAGAGACAAAAAGAAAGAAAGATAGAATGTGAAATAGAGAGAGAGAGAGAGAGAGAGAGAAATTGGGCAAGATAAAAATATGAACAAGTTACTTCTTTTGAAGGAATGAAATATTGGAGAAAAAAATGTACGGGTATTTGAAAACATCTGTCATTAATATAAAATTAAGGGTTACAAATTGACATGAGGTAAATTACTTGATCGTGTACTAAAACAGTATCTAAGAGTGACAACAAACTTGTACATCAGAAAAAAGTGAGTCAGATTAAAAAGATAGATAATGCATGTAGCACATCATGTATACATTGACTAAAGATAGATACATACATAGATACATGTGATTCACAGCCTATGATAAAACAACATTCATTGAAATAAAAGCTCAACTTGTAAAGATTGACCAGGACAAACCTAAAGCATCTCAACTCGACTGAGAGAAACAAAAGAGGTTTGTAGTAAAAGAGAAGTTATTGTAGAGTAGAACAGGTGTATCCCACATTTTAAATTGTCCATGTGCCTTATATACAAAAAGGCCTACAGTATGTACTTCATTTTTCGCTAACAGATCATAGCATGTTTAACCTAATTTGTTCATATTTAATCCAAGGGACGGCTCATTTTCATCAATTGTTTTACGGCCGACTTGAGGAACAAAGGATTGGGCCATTTTATTTGTTATTTGCAGTCATTATAGTAAGATATTACAATTCATGAGTTCTATCTTAAAATGAATTGTCAAACCACTGAGCCACCTTGTTTTCACATCTCATTAAGAAGCTAAAAAGAAGCATACAGGAAAACAAAATTGAGAAAGAAGAGCTGGATTGTCTGACTGATACTCACTATTTATACTGAGCAAACTCTGCTATAAGATGTGAAGCTTTAGAAAGCGGGTCAATGTCGCTATTCATAAGGTCCGTTATTCATAAGGACCGCTATTCATAAGGGCCGCTTTTCATAATTTGAGAAAAGGGTCATTATTCATAAGGTTCATTATTCATAAGGACCGCTATTCATAATCAGAGAAGAGGGGTCGCTATTCAAAATGCTAAATCGGGGTCGTTATTCATAAGGGTCGCTATTCATGATAAGAGAAGAGGGTCGCTATTTATAATACGAAATGAGGGTCACTATTCAAAATGCTAAATCGGGGTCGTTATTCATAAGGGTCGCTATTCATGATAAGAGAAGAGGGTCGCTATTTATAATACGAAATGAGGGTCACTATTCATGAAGCGGAATGAGGGTCTCTATTCATAAGGTTCATTATTCGTAAGGGTCGCTATTCTTAATAGGAGTAGAGGGTCGCTATTCATAATACGAGAAGAGGTTCGCTATTCATAATACGAAATGAGGTTCGCTATCCATTAATAGGAATAGAGGGTCGCTATCCATAATAGGAATAGGGGGTCACTATTCATAATACGAAATGAGGGTCGCTATTCATAATACGAAATGAGGGTCGCTATTCAAAATAAGAGTAGAGGGTCGCTATTCATCATAGAAGTAGAGATCCGCTATTCATTATGGGAGTAGAGGTTCGCTATTCATAATACGAAATGAGGTTCGCTATTCATGATAGGAGTAGACTCGCTATTCATAAATAGGAATAGAGGGTCGCTATATTGGAGTAGAGGGTCGATATTCATAATACGAAATAAGGTTCGCTATTTATAATAGGAGTACAGGGTCGCTATTCATAATAGAAGTAGAGGGTACGAAATAAGGTTCGCTATTCATAATAAGAGTAGAGGGTCACTATTCATCATACGTAATGAGGGTCGCTATTCATAATATAGAGTTAGGGTCGCTATTCATAATACGGGATGAGGGTCTTTATCCATAAAATGAAATAGCCCTAAGCGATATCCAAAATGCTCATAACAAAGGGAAATATTGGACGGAGGACACCCCCAAGGCGACACATGGCCCTGAATATTTGTCTTATTTTTAAGCAGGTATATTTCACCTTTTATCTTTGATAATTATTTAGAGACATCTCCCGCCCCTTATGTTGACGAAAACAAAGGAAAACATGAACACATATAATCGTATCGTAATTTGACTTCCTTGTGGGAAATTTTGCCCCACCAGGGTGCCCCAACTGATCTTATACAGGCTATGCCAAAGCGACATGAAGTAGACCAAGCAGGCCGATTTCCATAGTTATTTAAGGACTGATGTTGCTATTTCAGAAATTGTAATTGTTTATATGACAATTATGTTTTTGTAGAACGTAGCTTTTAGTAGGACTTATGGACCTACAAATTATATAGCGGGGTTGGGCCGGACCACGAGCCTACTTACTGTCCGGAAAGGGGTGAGACGTGGGGGGGGGGCACTTTAGAATTGATATTTGTTTGAGACTTTGGGGGATAGGGGGCTTGAACACTTTCGGACCTCGACGGTTTTTCGCGTCATGTATCGTTCAAAGAGGTATCATGCAATCCTAATATGAATCAACCATTTCTTGTCTTTTATTATTGGGGTGAGGGTGATGGGTAAGGAGGTCTGATATTAAAGGTCTTTTTAGTGCAACACTAGCCGTCGTGGCAACAAGGGGGCCGGATATAATGATAAATACAGAACAAACACAGGAAAATACGGGATGTAAACATAAATATGAATGCAGGTTCAATAGAAATAAACATTAATTCGAGAAATGATAAATTCAAAGCAAACACACAAAACACATGTAATAGTTATTCGAGTCGATATATACATCACACGTTAACACACGAAATATAAAAAATCAATTACTTTAAAGGGATCCGGTAACTTTGTCTTAGATCCTTTAGAAATAATCCTTGATTTAGCTCATGCTGCAATGATAATTATAAACATTTAGGTCAGTCAGGAACTCCATGACTTTTACAAGCCGATCGCCTGTCTGATTATCAAGAGATTAATGATTGGAATTACAAATTTTGAAAACCGTTCGCCGAACGGTTTTCATAACACTACAGTCAATTGGTGAAAACGAGTATGGTAAAACCGGTCACTCAAAGATTTTTACTTTTTTGAGGCACTTCTTGATCATTTTGAAGCGAGATTTTTTAGGTCTTCAATATAACACCATATCACAGACACTTGTTACATGTATGACCGTGTATCTCAGATTTAACATTGTTAAACAATCCCTTTAAATAACCAAACCATAATAAAAATAAGGGAAATACAATGAAGAAACAGTCAATGAAAAGTCGTAGTAGGGTTGACTTGCTAATTTATTCTATGTCAACTAATTCCATCACACTTGCTCCGTGAAAACTGTATGAACAAAACATGATAAAGAAAAAGAACAGATTATAAGTAATTGTTCATACAGGCATTTTCGAATACATGTGTATAAATAATATCATCAGTTCGCCTATTAAATGCAGTGATTAATAACAAATGAATTTCTTCTCTTTGTCTCTTATCATTTGTGTATATGCAATTATCTATAAACAATACCTTCACTCAAGTCACGTGACCAATATTCGTGGTAGATAGTTTGAATCACAAAGACTTATTAGCATAACGCATATCAATGACTGCGTCCTTCTTATAGCGGACACGTCATTCGTATCGTTAATATCGTATACCTATTTACGTGCATACAATTAACATTGCCTTACGTAGCACCCTAGCTTACACTCTATATCGTATATATCGTATACCTGTTTTACGTGCATCTAATTTGCATATATATAACGTCCACTACAGCCGTATACGGTATCATACGTGTCCGTGCATACACTAATACTACACACACCATTCATTATCACTTAAGCATATTAGATTACATTCATATCATTTCTCATTATTTATACTATTTATACTCGTTATACATTAATATATCGAATTAACGAACCTTCTTGCCTCCTTATTGTTGCAAACGGGTTGGCTTCGTATCAATAACAGGTGTAATTTAGGACAAGATTTCGGTGCGAACATCCAATTCGTTGCTACTGCTATGTCGGAATTAGGAAAGCGTAGATGGCGCTATTTCAGCCCATGACGTAAGTCAGAATACTCCTTTTTGTCAGATAAACTAACTCTCATAAACGATCACATTAACATGGCTCCTTTAAATTAATAATTAATTTACCCCTTTTTAGCTTTATAGAAATGACTTGGATTATTTGTTCCTTATCAACATTAATAGTTCAAAATATATCAATATATGTATACATATAGATCTACATCTCAAAATTTCAATTTCTACTTATCTTGAAACGTACATGATCAATTGCGCATGCAGGAAAACAAATCTTTATTCAAGATTTACAGTTCAAATTGTATCGTGAGATTACTTCATCTCTAGTACAGAGCTTGTACCAAGTATCTTATTACAGCATCTGAGTTGAATTAAATTTAACCGCGAGTCTCAAACACTCAGACCTTGCAACTCACCATTTATGACTAGCAATTAGCTGTATTTGCAAGTACTGGATTTAGAAATCGAGAAAATAACCTGGATCAACTCTCAGTTCAAATACTCTGCATGAATTTACGTTGCAAAAGGGGGGTTTCAATTCAGGTTCACATCTAATGCTCATTCATGTATACAATACATACAAGCATAATGATGAAATTGAACTGAAATACCCTTTAAATACATTCTTATAAGTGCAATCACATTGTAATTTTTTGCAAGGTAATTAATGCGATAAAATGAGGTATATCAACTTAATTTCCGTTTTCTACAAATATAGTTGTCATATGCTCGATCTTCCAATTTGATAAGATTACATTTTTTCAAACAGAGAACAAAAAACAAACAGCAATAAAGGTCATTACAGCTCATTCGGAAATGTCGTCAATCCACAAAAAGAGTTCTTGTTGTTGTTCAATCAGATCAATTAGTTCAAGAGTTTACTCAGTTCAATTAGACTTCATTTCAGCTGATGTGCGTCTGTAGTTACAGTTCCAGCATAGTCTTTGTTACAGACCAATTACAGATATTCTTGGTTCTAAAACTTCAATTAGATTATTTGACTAGTCTTATTCTAGACTTTCAGATTTTGCGGGTAATTCGAATTTTGGATAGTCTTATGTTCAGACTTCTATATTTACTTAAATCTATCAAAACCTATTTGTGAGGGATATTAATTACCTTACAGTATTCAAGGCTCCTTGGTCGGGAATCCGTCCTGGTCTTCACGCGGAAGCAGCAAAACCAGTTTGTGTATCGGACGCTCTAGTTCTTTCACAGGTCCTTTACGCTTACCGCTGTCGTCAAGTTCGGAGTCACCCTTTACGAGCTTCACTTTACGAATGAGTCCATCGGTAGAAGGAAAGACCTCGCTTATCCTTGCTAGGGACCATTGATTTCGTGGCAAGTTCTCGTCTTTCATGATGACGATATCCCCAATCTTAGCATCCCGTCGGGGCCGAGTCCATTTCTGGCGTGTCTGTAAGTTCTGGAGAAACTCCTTTCTCCAACGATCCCAGAACTCGTTGATCAGATGTTGTACCCTCCTCCAACGCTTTCTGGAGTACAAATCAGCGTCCTGAAAATTGCCTGGTGGAGGAAGTAAGACTTTCGACTTCATGGTTATGAGATGATTTGGCGTAAGAGGAGCCAAATATGTTGGGTCGTTCAGGTCAGTCACAGTCAGCGGCCTGCTATTGACAATTGCAGCCGCTTCATACATCAGTGTTCTCAGTGATTCATCATTGAGTTGTCTACTCGATTGATACAGCAAAGTTTCAAGCACTCTCCTGGCAGATCTTATTTGGCGCTCCCATACTCCACCCATATGGCTTGCCGCGGGGACGTTGAAAGTGAACTGTACGTAGTCACATCCTTCTTTCATTAGAGTGCCTTTGACATGTTCGTGATTCATTTCTGACCACGCTTTCCTTAACTCTGCTTCTGCGCCAACGAAGTTCGTTCCCCTGTCGCATCTCAGTTGACGTATTGGACCCCTCAGAGCAGCAAAGCGACGATATCCCTGAATGAATGAGTCTGTAGTCAGACTATTGAGTGTCTCAATATGCACGGCTCTCGAAGGCATGCATGTGAAGAGGAGTCCATATCGCTTCATCTCCTTTCTACCTTCCTTTATCACCCATGGGCCAAAGCAGTCGATGCCACAGTAAGTGAAAGGTGCTGCAGGTAACACACGGTCAGACGGTAGATCAGACATCTTCTGTAATTGTGCGGGACTACGTAGCCTATTGCATATGACACATTTTCGTATGAAATTGGCCACTCGATTACTGCTTCCAAGAACCCAAAATCCATTCTCTCTTATCTGGTTCAATGTCATGCCTCTTCCTTGATGAGCAGTCAACTCATGACAGTGACGTATCACAAGGTCCGTTACGTGGCTTCTTTGTGGGAGAATCAGGGGATGCTTTCTGTCATATGAGTCGTCTCCCCTTCGAATTCTTCCTCCAACTCTTAGAATTCCCTTTTTATCCAGGAAAGTGTCAAGTCCATGGAGACGACTCTCTTTCTTTATTTGACGTCTTCTCTGCCTGTCATTCAGATCCTGTTTCCTCTGGATTGACTTCAGGATTTCTATTTCTTCCCCAAAGGCTTCACTCTGGACGTGTCTCAGTATCTCAGTTTCTGCCTGTTGTAGATTCTGCACCGAGACTTTGCCTTGGGAAGTTGAGTCATCATTTGCCTGTCTTGTACGTTTTCTTTGACAACGTTGTTTCAGTCTTGTGATGAACAGCAGACAATAAGCCATCGCCCTCTTTGCTCTATACCATGTCGGGAATCGGTCTAGGCGACTCAGATCAAACTTAGAGTCACCCATTACAGTCGCGTTCACCATAGACTTCTTCACCTCGGGGTCACCTGGTGAAACCTCGAATTCCTCCTGATCATCAGCGCGAGGAACCGTCTCTTCCCATAGAAAATCTGGGCCAGTGAACCAGTTCGAAGTGATGAGTTGGTCAACGGTAAACCCTCTGGAAGCTCCATCTGCTGGATTGTCCTGTGTTCGAACGTGCTTCCACTGCGATGATTCTGAGTGTTGTCTGATCTCACAGATCCTATTTGCTACGAACACATGGAACCGCTTCGATTCATTGTTTATGTATCCAAGTACCACATTGCTGTCTGTCCAGTAGATATGCTCAATGTCCTCCAAGGCTAACTCTCGCTGAAGAAATGTGCTCACCCTAATGGAAACAACGGCAGCTGATAGTTCCAAACGGGGTATTGTTACTGCCTTGAGCGGGGCAATCCTGGACTTTGCCATCACCAGGATACAGTGGACTCTTCCCTCTCCATTCTTAATTCTCATGTATGAGCATTGGCCGTATCCCTCGGAACTATCATCGGAGAAGTGGTGCATCTGCATGGTCGTAACCTCACCGAAGTCTGCAGGTTTGTAGCATCTCTGTATTGATAGGGAGTCAAGATTATGCAGATCAGTTGTCCATTTCTCCCATCTTTCTCTGAGATGATCTGGCAGGGGGTCGTCCCAATCAGCAGACATCTTACACAGCTCTTGCAGAATCTGCTTACCAGGTAAGACAATCGGGGCTAGTAATCCCATAGGGTCATAGATCGACATCACGGTTGACAGTATTCCGCGCCTGGTTAGAGGTCTGTCATCGAGTGTGACTCTGAATTGGAACGTGTCAGATTCCACACACCATTGCACCCCAAGTGCCTTCTGCAAAGGAAGCTTATCCTGTAGGAGATTAGTCTTGGTAGTGCCCTTTGCTCTATCCTCTTCCGGAACTGTTTCCAGCACTTCTTGGGTGTTTGAGATGAATTTGTGCAAGTGGAGGCCTCCTTTCTTGCACATCTCTCTGGTTCTCGAGATCAGATTCTTGGCCTCTTCTTTGGTAGGAACAGATATTAGCCCATCGTCCACGTAGAAGTTATGATGTACAAAGTTCTTTACATCCTCTCCAAATTCAATAGCATGGTCGCTGGCAATCTGTTTCAAACAAAAGTTTGAGCATCCTGGAGACGACGTCGCCCCAAACAAATGGACAGTCATTCTTAGCTCATGGGGCTGTTGCAGAAAGTCTCCATCCTTCCACCACAAATACCGTAGGTATTTCCTATGATCTTCCTTCACCTTGAATTGGTAGAACATCTCACGTATATCGCAACAAAATGCGATTGGTTCCAGTCTGAACCTGCAAAGTACTCCCACTAGTGTGTTAGTCAGATCTGGTCCAGAAAGAAGCTGCTTGTTGAGAGATTCCTTTCCAAATTCTGCACTGCAATCAAACACAACTCGTAACTTGTTGGGTTGTACTACCCCATGATGGGGAATGTACCATGCTTGGCCGTTCTGCTTGTCATATTCTGGTACACTTTCAGCATATCCTTTCTCCAAGAGAGCATCCATCTTTTCCGAGTATTTCTGATGATACTCAGAGTCTCTTTGAAACTTTCTCTTTAGATGACTCAATCTCCTTTCCGCCATGAATCTGTTGTTGGGAAGGTTGACGACATCTTCTTTAAAGGGAAGAGGAGTCTCGTAATGACCATCATCTGTGATATGGACATTCTCCGACATGATTCTCATAAATCTTGTATCATGTTGCGAAAATGGTACCTCACTTCTGCTCTCTGAGAAATCTCTTTCCATCAGCTTCAGCACAGACGAAGGGCTGATCTCTTCTTTGATTGTAACGTTGTGAGTGAACGTTACTCTCTTCTTGATGGACATGTCTCTTTCAGCTAGTTCAGCGGGTATTTCACGTGCTGTCAAGCGATGACTGTGGCCAACGTGATCATCGGGGTTGTAGTGCTGTTCATCTTGACTTGTAACACCCACTATGCTCCATCCCAAGTCAGTTTTCATTCCAAATGGACCGTCATCGTCTTGGGAGGGAATCACATCTCGAGGAGTCAGAGCTCTTCCACAATCATAGCCGATCAACAATCCTATTTCACAGTGCTTCAGAGGCAGAAGTTGGTCAGCAATTGGAACCAAATGTGGGAAAGAGCGAGCTACTTCAGGAGTGGGGATGTGTTCTCTGTTGGCTGGCATTATGTCTCTAGTGTATGCAGCTGGAAGGTGTATCACCTTTTCACTGTTAAAGGCTCGAGCTGTGAGTCCTTTAATCTTCTCACTTGGAATCCTTTCGTTCTTGGTCGACATTGTAGACAGAAGAAGGTTGACCCTCAGTCCATGAAGTCCTAAGGCATCCTTTGTAGAATTCAATATGAAGGTGGTATCCGATTGAGTATCTAATAGTGCGTATACGAGCCTCTCTTCCTTCATATTCTCATGAGACAGCCAGACTGGCACGATTGCCGCGCTTTTCACATAACTTGTGGCGTTAGAATTAACAAGTGTATGTGAATTTGAAGATTGTATTTCTTCCTGGTTCGATGTCCTTTCCCTTTCTTCTGAAGGTCTTCTGTCAAAGTGTAGTGGCGTAGGATGACGCTTGTTGCACTCTCTGCATGTGCTTCTCACTCGACATTTTTTGGTCAGATGACCTCTCTTGAGACACCCGTAACACAAGCCCTTTTCTCTTATGAACTTCTTCCTCTCGGACATAGGCTGATTGACAAAGGCTTGACAATCCTCAAGGTGATGATGATTTCTACAGAATATACAGAATGATTTCCGTTCTGGCCTCTTTGTCTCATCTTGGATGGAGCTGGTTCTCATAGTTAACGCTCTCATGGATTTTCCTCTGTCCTGTTTCGGTTTGTCCTCCTTCAGGCTACCAATGGACGTGATTGGGTCACATGCAATGTTACTCTCTTCCTCAATGAATGATGAGAAGGTACCGAATGAAGGAAATGTACCATGTGACCTCCTATGCTCATAGACTCGTCGGCTCCATTTAGTAACAAGCCAATCGGGAAGTTTGGATAGGAGTTTCCTATTCTCACGTTCGTCATCTAACTGTCGGAGGTTGCCGATCTTTTCTATTGCTGTTTGGCATTGTCGTAGGTAATCAGAGAATCTACGCAGTCCTCTGGAATCCTTTGTAGGTATCTTTGGCCAGTTATCCAGTCGGTCACGAAATGCATTCGAAATGATGAATGGATCACCATATCTCTGTTCTAGTTCACTCGTAGCTCGATTGTATGCCATATCATTGTGTATCAGAGAAAATCCTTGCACGAGTTCGAGAGGTGGGCCACGTAGATACTTCTTTAAGTAGAAGAATCGATCCCTTGCAGGAATACCTTGATGTTCCATTAAGATGTCGTAGGCCTGTTTCCAACTAGGGTATTGCAGTGGATCCCCAGAAAAGATATCTGGTTCTGGCAGTGGCAAGCGACTAATCTGTAGCTGAGTCAGCAAATTTAACAAGGGTTCTTTAGTCGGTAATTCTGTAGTCGGAACATCTTCAGTTGGCACATCTTTGGTCGGCACATCTTTAGTCGGCACATCATCCTGGCTTTCAAACGAGCATTCATTCACCCATTTTTGACAGGATGATAGTCTTTTCGATGAAACTTTAGATTTTCTTGACGATTCTTGTTCGAGGAGGTGTTCTTGTACTCCTTTCATCAGCTCTGAGTGTTCTTGTTCGATGTTGTCGAGCCTTTCATGGCTGTCATCGTCGACTCCTGCCAACTCCAATAGAATCTGAAGGTCTTCTTGAGCGGATATGGCGTTGTCCATCACCTGCTGCAGAGCGTCCCTACCTTGTCGAATAACTTTGACATCACTGATGTCGCTCAAGGTAGCTCTTAACTTATTCGACGCTCTACGCCAAGCACTAATGGATCTCTTAAATTCCTTCCCTTTTGTTTCAGCTTGATACTGCAGACCTTTCTCAGTGAGTTTGACTTCTCGCTTTGACCTTGTGTCCACAGCTTCAGCAACAGGGTTTTCCTTCTCCTTGTCCCCCATCATGTCCACTTCCGACATCTTGTACCAAATCACGTAATCTGAATCACGACGTCATCGCAGGTTGCAAGTCGTAGTGAAGTGAAGTTTTCACTGAAGAAACAGTCAATGAAAAGTCGTAGTAGGGTTGACTTGCTAATTTATTCTATGTCAACTAATTCCATCACACTTGCTCCGTGAAAACTGTATGAACAAAACATGATAAAGAAAAAGAACAGATTATAAGTAATTGTTCATACAGGCATTTTCGAATACATGTGTATAAATAATATCATCAGTTCGCCTATTAAATGCAGTGATTAATAACAAATGAATTTCTTCTCTTTGTCTCTTATCATTTGTGTATATGCAATTATCTATAAACAATACCTTCACTCAAGTCACGTGACCAATATTCGTGGTAGATAGTTTGAATCACAAAGACTTATTAGCATAACGCATATCAATGACTGCGTCCTTCTTATAGCGGACACGTCATTCGTATCGTTAATATCGTATACCTATTTACGTGCATACAATTAACATTGCCTTACGTAGCACCCTAGCTTACACTCTATATCGTATATATCGTATACCTGTTTTACGTGCATCTAATTTGCATATATATAACGTCCACTACAGCCGTATACGGTATCATACGTGTCCGTGCATACACTAATACTACACACACCATTCATTATCACTTAAGCATATTAGATTACATTCATATCATTTCTCATTATTTATACTATTTATACTCGTTATACATTAATATATCGAATTAACGAACCTTCTTGCCTCCTTATTGTTGCAAACGGGTTGGCTTCGTATCAATAACAGGTGTAATTTAGGACAAGATTTCGGTGCGAACATCCAATTCGTTGCTACTGCTATGTCGGAATTAGGAAAGCGTAGATGGCGCTATTTCAGCCCATGACGTAAGTCAGAATACTCCTTTTTGTCAGATAAACTAACTCTCATAAACGATCACATTAACATACAATAAAGGGAACAAACAGAACGAAAATTAAGGCTGATGTAAGTTGTCATGAAACAAGATAGAGATAATTACAGAACAAACACATCATAATATACATACCACCTGTCAATTCAGCATACACATTGAGTACAGGAATATATTGTTTGTTGTTGTTGTTTTTTGTTAACCATATTAATCTTTATAGAATTTAGTATTGTAAAAAGCATAATATATTGTCATCCCATGCTTACTGTCTCCCACGAGTTTGAAAAAGTGTCTTGTTGTCGGGGTCATCTCGTAGGAGAGGTTAGATAATCATAAAGCATAATATAGTACAGGTAATACTTGTTATAATATTTTGTCCTTTCTTTCTCTTTTTTTTTTCAAATAAAAAGGAAAAAGGAAAAGATATACGACATGACAGTAAGACAATATATATATTGTCTTACTGTCATGTCAGCCAATCTATGTTACACTATAATTTTGAAATTTGTTATCCAATGTTATAAACATAATTGAGAATTTAAATCAATAGCATTTAAATCATGAAACATCCTACAGCCCCCCCCCCCCAAACCCGCCTCCTTCGCCTTTATGATGACGACTCGGACATTCAGGTAGCGGACCTTACTATTTATTTTCGGGAGGGGGTGGGGGGGGGGGTGAGGTGGTTTCCTTATACAAATGTATGGTCTTAAGTTGTCCCCAAAGTAAATTTTCTTAAGTTTGACTATCAGTTGGGGGGGGGGGGAGATTTCGCACAAGGGGGACAAATTACGATAGGATTATGTGTGTGTTATGTTTCCCATTTTTTTTTTTTTTTTTTTTTTTTTTTGGGGGGGGGGGGGGCGTCCGCGTGCGTCCAAAATCTAGATCCAGCATATTGTTACTAACTTAGGCTATGCCTACAGGCTACACAACATAGCACTATTTGTATTACTTATGACTATAAAGCTGTTGCAAAGAAAGTATCTCTTTGTAGTGACTAAACTCGTTTTTACCTTTTCAAAACTTGGTTTTTCATTTTTTAAACACCGTACAGCATATTGGATGTGTCTCACTTAAACATTCGTGTCAGACCCGAAGCCTAATGACTTTAATGGTCACGTGGGTCTGGTGTACTTACGTTAAAGGAAAAAGTAGTCCCTTGATTATTTATCTATAAATTGTTTGTAGGTAAAGTTAAATGTACTGTAATGAATTATGATACTTTCTCATGCATGTTTTATTGTTCTTTTTCTAAAATTGATTATTATACTTAGTACAGAAGGATGTGCATTCACGCTCGAAAAGTAGTCCTTCTAGACGGGCGCAATGTCAGGCAAGGCTCTGATTGGCATTTTTATTTAACGGACATTCGTCCCCTTGCTTTAAGCGAATCTAGTATGTTGCACTCTACATCATCCGACACGCTTAAGTTTAAAGCCGTCAATGTACTAGCCTGTTTGTGTTGCACCATTTACACAGGTATGTAGAGATAATTGAACATATTTGATGCTATTGAGTTTTACTTTGCTACCAGTGTTTATGATGTAATAAACGAGTCGGTTCAAATAATTCTATATTGTGTAATTGGATGTTTTATTCATTGTACATTGGAAACGTACCGATGCATTTAAATATATTCTTCTGTTGAGTTCTTTACGGGAATGATGAGTAGTCTGTAACTATCAGACTCGGTTTATAGATAATGCGGATTTTGCAGCAAATACTGATTTATGCTATGGTCACATTACCCAAAAGTAGCCTGCTCGGCGGCCGAGCGGCGAGTTTTTAACCAATTCTGCCCGGCGGCTGCCCGGCCACCGAGTGGCGACCGGCCAGTCACCGCTCGTTGTTAGGGCATCGCTCGGTCGCCGCTGAAGTTTTAGCGCGGAGTTAAAATTTGGGCGGCGCCTGCCCACTTTTCACTCGCCGCCCAAAATACGCTCGGTGCCTGGGCGGTCGCCGCCCGGGCACCGAACTAATCGCTGGGCGATGCCTAATTCCAGCAGCGACCGAGCAGGCTACTGATCGGTCGGTCGCTGCTCTAATTTGTGACCATAGCTTAAGATGTGAAAGTCCATATTATATAATTGATGTTTCATTTTTTTGTCCTACTTTAGACGCAGAGGTGTAAGGTGTCTTCTATATACACACCACGCTACAAAGCTAGGCTACAACAGACGATGACGTAGTATTTTCCTTACCCGTGTGACACTTAGTCTAGGGTGAGTTGCGTAGAAATATATTTATTTTATGTACTCAATAATATTGATCGGAGTCATGATTGTTTGATATCTATACATGTATGTACAGATAATATTGCATACTATGTATTTACTTCTTGGTTTGTTAATTGCAATTTAATGTATATGAACTGAACTTATGAAAACTGCATTGTCTACATAAATCAAATCACAGTCAATAATGATGACTTGCATGATTTTATAATGTGATTGTTGTACTTATGATGCTTTTGTTTTATCTTCTGTACAATGCAGGGGTTTCCGTTTTTTATTTATAAAAACGAATACACATCTTTGAACTTCACCACGGCGTTCCATACTCTTCATTTTTGTTGGCTATGATTTTAACGGTGGAACACGCGTCCCACATCTTAACCCTTAGAATTAAAATATGGAAACACGGACTGATGTGTCATTGGCATAATGTTAGGTGAGACCAAATTGTTCATATCATTAGTCTGATGAATGCTCAATTGAGCCATTTTATTAAGTGTAGGCTAGATCCTAGGCTACTGTGGTAGATCTAATACTAACGTTTGGAAAATCTCAAAATCAAAAATATACAATTTTTTAGACATAATCAGTAGATACCCCTACATTGTGTTTACGTTATAAAGGATGATTTCAATATTTGTTTCTCCGATACGTATCATAAAAGATATCGCTTGAGAATCATATTTTGCAGTTGGGTGTGATGGTGTAAAAAATTCATTTTGTAGTGGTAGTGCGAAAAAATACAGCTAAAGAGGGAAAAACCCAATCCATAACTGAAGACTGAAAAGACATTTTATAAGTAATACGATTATTTCATCTGTAAATGCGAGCGAAATTTATCTCAGTCGCTTAAAATTAGGGGCTTGGTGGTTTAATGTGATAGAAAAGGGGATACTTAGCAAAAGAGATAAGACACATACTATTAGAAAAGAAAATGAGCACGTGTCAAAGCATAAAGGGTAAGTTATCAGAGGTGAAAATGGGGCACCTTTTACACCTAAAAAGAGGCACTCACCACGAATGAAATAAAGGCACTTTATTAATATAAGAATGGGAAATGGAAATTCGTAGTCCGAAAAGGGGCACCAATAGGGAGTAGTGAGCACTATACTGTAAAAATACACCTTTTTTCCCAGGGGGGGGGGGGGGGCGGGCCCCCCCCCCCCCCCCCCTGTATCCGCCACTGATCCTGGCTGTGTCCTGTGTATTGAATCTATTCTATACATTCTCAACATTTCAAACACCACTGTACAAAACTCAACTGATTTCACTAAAAATCGGTACTTTAGTTTAGTGACAATAGTCGATAACACCTAAAATTAAATAGCAGTAATAATTGATTCGTTAATTCTAAAGAGTATCTTTACGAGAATAAAGTACTTAGTTACAGAGTTTGATTACATAAGTCATTTAATTATAATGACAGGTATATTAGTATATATGAAAGGACACATCATGCAGGCACAGGTGATGTCAGTTAAGATTAATGGAAGTTTTATTAATAAATAAGTCTCAATATCAGGCACTAATTTATTCGTTGGTGATATTTTATGCATATTAGTGAGCATAGAACTAATTTGCAGACTTTGTTTATTCTTACAAGGTATGAATGACAACACGAGCACAGAAATGTTGTATTTATTTCATGTGCTAAATATCTGTACGTAATGCAGTTCTTTGGGGGTATTCCTTGGGTGTGTGAGCCAACCAGTAATGACAGCAAGATGAGATAAGGGGGGGGGGGGGGCGGTGGTCGCTCTAGTCAAGTTTTTCATTAATATAGACACCAAGGAACTTTGTACATGTATTTCTCTCTATAGAAATATCATCTAGTTTATTATTTAGAGCAAGGTTGTCATTAGATTTTCTACCTCTATACTTTATCAATAGAATCATATCTATCATTGATTCTATAAATTCATATTATGAAGTAATTGACAGTTCCATATTATTTTTTGGTTATATAGGCTTGTGCTATGCTGGAGCGAGAACACTGACTAAACTTCTAGACAATGAAACATATTTCAGTAAATACATAGGGCTGCTACAAAACTACTGTACCGCAGTGCAGTACCATTACACATCGCAAGTTGAGCAATGCAGTTGACGTAGCATGACGTCATATATTCATGTTTATTCATGTCCATATTGTCCAAAGATGACGTAATGCTATCGAAATACAACAAATGAATATTCATATCAAATTCCGTACGTACGAAGTCTATTATGTAGAGGCTCTTGTCTGGGACTGGGGCTGTAGTCTGATTTCAAGAAAGGAAAACAATTTCCGGACAGTTCAAAATAATGCTGGAAAATGGAAATTCAAAGGATACCGTTTTAAAAACCAGTAATTAGATATGGTTTTAGGACAAGAAGCAGAAGATGATTCATTGCACGGCAGTCTAATTGATTGTATTTAAAACAGAGTATCTAATATACCTGATATCTAACAGTACACTGTCAATTATAACACATAACTAAATAAACAGACAAATAATGGACCTCTATACCAAAGACTGTGGGTCTTTATTGTTGAGCACTCTTTGATTTAGCTCGGGTACAGGCGAGGTGGGGTGAATGCTTTCAAATGTAAGAGGCCCAAATGGGAAGGGGGACCCTTGCATTCTGTGTCGCCCAAATGGCTAGGGGGGAGCCTTGCATTCTGAGTCGCCCAAATGGCAAAGGGTGACCCTTGCATTCTGTGTCGCCCTTAACATGTCATGAAATGAACTCTTTTCATCTCTATAATATAGGAGTGTAGATCTCTGCCTATCCAAACAATGTAATCGCAG